TTTTCTTCACTTACCTGCTGACTTCGCGCGGGCAGGAGCTGGACAGCTTCCCTCTTGCGGCGGCTGCCTCGGTGAGTTCTATAGTTATCGTTAGCGTTATCGTTGGGTCGTGGGTGCCACCGCTTTCGCCTGCCCCGGACGTCACACAGACTCAGGATCGCTCCTCCCTCCCTCCCTGGTGGTAGTGGTGTTGTGGTTGCTGTTGATTCTTGCAGCGCGCCGGAGCCTTTCGTAGCGGGACGCCAGGTAGAAATTCAGGTGCAGTTTTGCCTCTCCCCCCTACCTAAGGGATGGACTCCCTTGATGGCCCGGTAGCCCCCATGCAGGCACTGCCCCCGAAGAGTGGGAAACCAGCCGGAGTGTGTTTCTGCCCCGCCAGGGGTGCAAGGCTGCTGCTGGTGACAGGATCGCACTTTATGTGTCCTCAAAAGCACTCTCGTCTTCATTCGTTATTTGCTAATCGTCACAGAATCCCACTTGATACATCCCATCTCCAAAACTGGCAAAGGATGATTCACTTTCTGAAATATATTGGCTGCTGACTGCTGGGTTTTATTTTGTCTTGGTCTTGACTTCTAGTGCAAACATGCAGCTTGGCTCACTTGCTTGAATTCAGTAGAGTTCCTTCAGGGGTGGGGGGGGATATCTTTCTGTAAAGCAGATGATTTTTGCTTATCAACTAGTTTGGACAACACAAGTACATCTCCGAGGGAGTGGTGGACAACATATGTTTGTTTTCAAATAGATGGCTTTTGGTCTCTTCTATCTCCGTTGGTATCAGGAAAACTTTAAATATGGGTAGAGTCCCAGTGGGGTAGAGGAGTTAGCACATTTGGTGCATTTGCAGACGCTTTGAAGAATATGAGTTACTGGGTGTGAGCATAGCCATTGCATGGCTTGTACAGAACAATGAATCCAAATTGCAATGCAAATCCATCTGTAGAGATGGCCAGCCATTGTTTAGAATTACTGTACAAACAAATCTTTTTTTGTGCTTATTATGCCATGAAATAGCAACTTTTAATGATATGGTAATACTTTTTACTTGGCAATTATGCAAAAAGTTAAGAATTGAGTTTGTACAGGTAGTAATTTTGGGAATAACTCTCAACACCAGAGGGAACATTTGGTGAGTGAAAAGGATTTAGCCCAGTCTTGATGTCCTTTTGGGAGTCTCATGGCTGATTTTACTAAAGAAACGTTAGCAACTTGTAAGAACACACTGCAGGAATGTGCATATTAATTACGCATGTAATTTGGCCCTCGGGCCTGAGGTCCATCACTTTGTGTGTGTGTGTGTGTGTGCTGAAACTGATTTATAGTAATCCCGACAGGGCTTTCAAGGTAAGTATGGTATTTAAGGGGTGGTTTTACCAGTTCCACTCCCTTGATGAATTTCCATGGCCAAGTGGGGGATTGGACTCCAGTTCATTACTTTATTCACTACACCACACTGGGTACCTGATGTCCACCACATTAGACAATTTTGTTATATAGAAATTCATCTGTCATTCTGTTACCCATTTATTTGGTTTGGAGATGTTCTGTTCCAGCACTTTACAAAGTTTCCCATTTGTTTTGTCTTCTTCACCAAAAAAGGAGGGTTCTTTTTTGGGTAACAAACATTGGTGGAAAGAGGTTAAATTACCACAGTGAGGTACAAATAAACAATAGAATTAAGTTACAGTGACAATGAGTACATTTCAGAGATTGATACACATGTATTAGTGCAACATACTATAAAACACAAACACATTATTTATATTTTTTTTCACTTGTAAAAATGTGTCAGAATGAGTTATTTGTATTGTTTATTATTACTGAAACAAGAATAACGCCAGTAATGGGTCTCATTTTTCATTTTGTTTCTGTCCACTATCCTGAGAAATCTGGTGTTGTCCTCAGGAGATTTATCTTCTCATCCATGTTATTTTTTTAATAAATTGTTTGGCCTTGATTTTAATTAAGCATTTCCACTGTGGAAAGTGTCCATTTATTCCTACTACTTTGTGTTCTTTCACTACTAACCCTTTTATGTAGAATGACATTGGCTAAAGAGCTCTATCTTTTTGGAAGTCAAAGCACACAGTAGCTACTGGATCATCCTCTTGACATACTCAAAAGATTCTAGAACATAGGTGAGGTGCAACAAGTGTATGAATTCTGAGCATACACTTCAGAAAGCTTATATAGGTTTTGTTGTGAGAAACTTACCTAATTATACTTTAAAGTGTTTCTGTCTATCATTTGCTATGTGACTATTTGTTGAATTATTTCATAGGGGGAAAAAGTTTCAAAGTAAAACCTCTCTCTGAAGTTTGTCCTATGAAATTTTGGACATTATAAATGTTTGCATTCTTCACTGCTTTTCTAATAACATTATCAGACCTAACAGAACTAACATCCTCTCTTGTTGTTTCCCATGCTAAAGTTTACAGCTTGTTTGGCAGGTCAGTGAATCAAAACACGGATGTTTTAATTGTTTGAATTGTTTTGCTGACTCTCTGGGCATTGTAACAGAAATGTTTTATACCATGGCCTTACTCAGCTTTTTCATTCACTTAATGAATGGGCTTCCATTGAGCCCTTAAGGAAATATTTATTGAAACAAAAACAACAAATTGTATTATGGCATCTTCAACTATTGAAACAAAATAGATAAAGTTTTGGCCATAAAAGTTGCAGGCACAGTGATTTGATCCAGATCAGGGCTACAGAAAAGTTAGCAGTATTATTCTCACTGTACATTCTGGTGAAAGCAACACTGTTCTCATTATATGTTCACTGAACAAGTAGTGAAGCCCTAAGATAAGGAGAGAATTAAAGATCCCTACAGCCCAAGCTAGGATCCTGACCAGGATTCCAGAACAAGAAGGAAAAGTCCTGCTAGCAACCTGTTCAAAAGATCACTTCATTTGACCCTAAAGACACCCACCAGTCACTTATCGGTTTTCCTTGGGTTGAGATATATTCCATTTCTATGAAGATGACAGCAAGTTGTAGGTTTTGTGCAACTATGTGTCCATGTGCATGTGTGTGATGCATTTCTCACTTATACTTTAGCTACTCAGGACTGGAGCAGGGAAGTTTCACTCACAATTTAGAGCAGAGGAGAGGTAAAGCATCTTTCTTATCAGCTGCCATAAAATTTGTGCCATCTTTACATTTCCCACCTAACTCACAAATCTCATCCCCCACCTGGCCTGTCTGGCGACCCTTTGTCTAATAAGATCAGGAGAGACATTCTAATCCACACCACCAGAGATGAAATCTGAAGTCTGCATTTCTGATCTGAGGCTGCAGACCCCATTTTGAAACTTGCTCCTGACAAAGGAGCCTGGCACAACCATGATTTTTGGAATGCTTATGTTTCTTCTGTGGTGCCCATCCAGATGAAGACCCACACAGGGCTAACATTTAGCATGGTTGTGATTTTTTTTAGTGGTCTCATAAAGGTATCATCCATGCTTGCTTTAGAATTATGATTTATGGTATACAGTACTGTAGTCTGGATACATGGACAGCTTCCAGTTTGAAGGGGTTCTCTGAGTACAGTAATCTCTGAGGAGTGCCTCCTTGCTTTAGTGGGCTCAAGAAAGCTTGTGTAGCTTTAGTCACAATTACTTTCAATGGCATTTAATACATTCAATGAAAGTCTCACTTTCCCCCCCAATACTGTGACTGAAAGTGATTCACAATATGATTAAAAAGAGATACAACTAAAATGGCAATAGGGTATAATATTAAAACACAGTTAAGCAAATTATAATATTAAGATTATAATATTAAAATAATAGCCTGATTTAATTAAAATATTTAAAATACATAATAAAATTACCTCAGAATGCTGCAAAACAATGCTGGGATTAAAGTATTTTGGGAAATTAGAAACATAGCCACAAGGTGCATGGTGAATACACCCCCCCCCCAAAAAAGAAGCAAAATAGCCATTTTTGAGGAGCCATATTAGGGCACTGAATCCTGGCAATTCATTCAAGGATGCCAGATGTACTGTTTAGTTATCATGTCTAGCAGCTGCAGATAAAACCATTGTAAATGAATTTGCCCACTTTTTAAAGTCATCTAAGCCAGAGGCCATCACCATATCTTTCTACAGAGAATTCTTTAGGGCTTATGAATGGTGTGAGGAGCTAGAAACAGCTGGTGAGGCCATGGTGAAGGCCTGAAAATAGAGTCAGAGAGAGGGTAAGAAACTAGGTAAAAAGGCTGGGAATGCATGGACCGAGGAATACAACTCAGTGTATTGGCTACATTCCTTATGGCTATGCTGGCAAGGGCTGATGAGAGGTATAGTCCAGTAACATCTGGAGGGCTGGACTTTGCCTGACCCTGGCATTTATTACTGGTTAGACATCTTTGGGACAGCAGCCAGTGCCAGCCCTACCACTAGGTACAATGAGGCAGCTGCAGATTTGAATACTGAGAAATGAGGAGTCTGTTACTTGCTTTATTAATGTTGTATTTTATTGCCAAGCTTTGGAAGAGGAGCTAGTGGGAGGATTGTTTTGTTTTATTTTGTTTTGGCTTCAGATATCAAAATAACTTTTCCAGTAGGGTACTATGACACTATTACTTGAGTTATTTGTTATTTTCCCTTAGATGGCAAATTGTCTTGGGCTTGCTCTAAAGCACCTAAGAATAACATAGGGACTATGAAAAAGAAAATTGGGGGTCAGCAGCTTCCTAGGCTCAGGGACAAAAAGGTTCCCAAGCTAGAGAATTCTGGGACAAAGGGAAAATCTTAGATTGGAAAGTGACGAGTCAAGTGCATATGAGCCCATAGTATGGATTATAGTTGCAATCATCAAACGCAAGTTGATTAGGTTTAAGCAAAGGATTTTATCCGGGACATAGACAGTGACACATGCCTTAGTTACATCCCGTTTGGATTACTGTAACATGCTCTATTTGGGGCTGCCTTTGAAGACAGTTCGGAAACTTCAGCTGGTGCAAAACTCTGCAGCCAGACTACTGACTGGGGTCAGCTACCGGGAGCACATAACACACCTGTTACAAGAACTGCAATGGAAACCAGTCTGTTTCTGGGCCC